CATCCCATATGGGTGCCAGTTTGAGTCCCGGCTACTCCACTTCTAATCACGCTCCCTGCTATGGCCTGGGAAAGCAGTGGGAGATGGTCTACATGCTTGGGCCCCTGTACCTGTGTGGGGGACTAGGAAGAAGCTCCTGGCCTCCGATCGGCCCAGCTCCAGCCATTGCAACCATGTGGGGAGTGAACCAGCAGATTGGAGAACTTTCTCTACCTCTACCTCTACCTCTCTGTAACTCTCTGCCTTTCAAATAAAAGAAGTAAATCTTAAAAAAAAAAAAAAAAAAAAAAAGTCTTCGCCCTCTCCACAGCTCAGGGCTGGTGGAAACAACCAGAAGGGCAAACACATCAGGCACTCACTTTCCCAGGCAGAGCTGTGGCACCCGGAGGGGAACCCCCTCTGCAGGTCAGACAGAGCTGTGTCCCAGTGGGACTAGTGGTGGTGGTTTTGCTCCATCACAGAGAAACAAACTCTAGCAGATCAGGCAGGGAAGGCTGATGGCACAGGTTCTCTCTCTGAACACAGATGAGATCTGGACACATCCCCAGAGACCATACGGTCCAACTCTTAACACTCTGTCGCTGGGGACACTGAGACAAGGAGCGGAAGAGTGAGCTGCCAGTGCACACGGGGAGTTAGTGACCCGGCCCCAATTCCCAGGCCAGAAGAAGAAACACAAGGTTGTGCCAAAGAAATGCACCTCTGACTCTGGGAATCAAACAGAAACACGTTCGCCTCCCAGGTCCCCACGACACCCAGCTGAGCACCGGGTTGGACGAGGCAGCAATATGAGTGCTCTCCCAGGGACTTACAGAACACTGTCCTCACGCTGCAGCCCAACGGCCTCAATGAACACACATGCTTGTCTCACGGCTTCCACAGCCCACTCCCGACACGGGACCATAGGCCAGATCACCACGGCTGCTGCTCAGAGCCCTTGGCTACGAGTCAGAACAGCAGAAAGCGCCCGGTGCAAAGGCTGAGAGCTGATGATGAGCAAAGAGGACAAGGGACCCAGAATAGGCCAGGGAGCGAATAAGCAAAGGCTGGAAGGAGCAGAAACCAAATGGGAGCAGAAGCGACACTGGGAAAAGAGGAGAGTGGAGAGTGAGGAGGTCAGTCAACGGTAACAGACCAGAGCTGACCACAAAGGGGAGCTGACTCAAGGTCAACGGCAGACCACAAAGAGCGGCTGTAACAAGGTCATGGTGAACAGAGAAGATCCGAGAAGCCAGCCTGAGATCACGAATCTCCTCCATGGGGCCGGCGCTGTGGTGCAATGGGTAAAGCTGCCGCTTGCAGGGCTGGCATCCCATATGGCCACCAGTTCGAGTCCTGGCTGCTCCACTTCTGATCCAGCTCTCTGCTATGGCCTGGGAGGGCAGTAGAAGATGGCCCAAATGCTTGGGCCCCTGCACCCACGTGGGAGACCCAGAAGAAGCTCCTGGCTCCTGGCTTCGGATCAGTGCAGCTCCAGCTGTTGCAGCCATTTTGGGAGTGAATCAGCAGATGGAAGACCTCTCTTTCTCTCTCTCTCTCTCTCTCTCTGCCTCTCTGTAGCTCTGTCTTTCAAATAAATAAATACATCTTAAAAAGAAGAATATCCTCCATGTCTCGTTTTATAAACTTCAGGTCCTACACTGTGCTGTTCCCTTCTCTCCCTGCTCTACATCCATCCATCCAACAGGCAGCTCCCTGTGATGAGCTGGCCTGGGAGGGTCTCTGCTCCCTGAAGCCAGCGACAACGGCCACAGCACCCTGCACAGCAGACAGCTCTTCAGCCTCCAGCATCAACGCAGATGGTATTTTTGATGCCCAGGTGTGGAGGAGCAAGAGTTAGAGAATGGTCCCCTAGGGACTGACAAAATACTACTGCTGCCCTCTGCGTCTCCTCCATCCCCTCCGCGTCTCCTCTATCCCCCCCCATCCCCTCTGTCACCTCCACCCTCTTCCTCCCTTTTTCATTCTACTCTTCCTTCCCTTCTGCCTCCTAGTCTTTCTCCTCCTTTCTCCACCTCTTCTTCTTCCTCATCCTTCCTCTTATTCTCTCTCTACCTTCTCCTTCTCCTCTGTCTTCTTCATCACCAAGCCACTTCCATACCCTCAGCGTCCAGGGTTGCATTAATCCTCCTTACATATTACACATGTAATCCTCACCACAACCCCAATGGGGTATCCTATTTACTTCCCATTTTACGGAGGGGAAAACCAAGGCAGAGACACCATGAAGTGACCTGCCCATAGTCACAGCCAATTTAGGAGCTGCGCTGCAATTCTAGGCTTTCTGATTCCAAAATCCACACTCTGACCAGTGTCGTGGGTGAAACAGCAAGGCCTTTGTGAACTGCACTGACGGAGCCAGAGAGAAGAGAGAACCGTGGGAAGGAAATCTTCAGATTAAATTGTCTCAGAAACCCATTGCACTAACCACATCAGTGCCAGACAAAAAGATTCTGTGTGAAGGCAGCGAGCAGAGAGAGAGGGGGAGAAAACCCAGCTCTGTGGTAGAACCTGTCCACCTTCATGTCAAAGCTGTTTCTAAATAAAGGGTAATTTACTTCCCTTCTCAAATTCTCCTGCTGGCAGACAAGCAGAACAATGTCACAGTTACTGGTCCACCTGACCTGTGTTCCTGTCTCATCTGACACCAAGAGGCTCATTGTGTCTTTAAAGGAAGAAAGGTCTGGAGGTGGCTCTGAACTCCTTACCCCTCAAGATGTCACCAAGGAAAGGATGAGGCATAAGGCAGGCATGGGGCCCTCCCAGGGGTGGGGGTCCCCCCTTCCAGAGACCTCTATCTTTTGCAAATAAAAAAAAGAACAAAGGGAAAGCAGTACCAGACTGACATTTTGATTGTGGGTCCTAAGATTTAAGCTGATAAAAATAACTAGAATTTCCTGGACATTCACTATGCTTGAGAACAGTGCTAAGTGCTTTTTTTTTCCAGTTAATTACTTAATTTAATCCCCACAAGAACTCTTTGGGCCATGGTGCTCTTACTGGCCATGTTGGGCATTTAGCACAACATGGCTATAAATCTCTGGTCTCTTGGACCCTTCTCATCAAGAGTGGGGGGTTGGGGGATATGCCTCAGGACGTTGAACCTGAGCAGGTTTATGATTACATCTATGGGCAAAGCAGAGCAGAAGTGACGCTGCCAGTGGCCTGCCTTGATGGCTAATTCAGCCATTCTTGGAGTCAGGAGCTGCCATGTGAGAAGCCTGTGGAGGCGGCCATATTGTGAGGCGGCCATATTGTGAGGCGGCCATATTGTGAGGCAGCCATATTGTGAGGCAGCCATATTGTGAGGCAGCCATATTGTGAGGCAGCCCATGCCATGAGGCAACCCCACACGCGATGCCCTCACTGACATCCCACGAAGCCCAGACTTTGAGGCATTGCTGCCCAAGCACCAGGCGTGTGAGTGAAAGCCTCTGCACAAGGAGTCAGCAGGATTTTTCTGTAAAGTACCTGGCAGTAAATATTTTAGTCTCCGCAGGCTGGGAGGGCTCTGCGATGACTTCTCCACTCAGCTACTATAATGTAACAGATCCTCAGACAAGGTGGGGGTGGTTGTGCTCCAAAAAAATTTTGTTCACAAAAACAGGTGGTGGGTTGGATTTGGACTGTAGGCAATAGTTTGCCAATCCTTATTCTAGATGATTTCGGTCCCAGGAGCGAGCATTTTCCCAGTTCTGTCCTGGGACATCACAGAGCAGAGAGCATCTTTTCTGTGCTCTGTCCCAGTTCCCGACCTACTGATCTGTGAGTAGGGTTGTGCACCATTACGTCTGGGGTTATCTGTTGCACAGCAGTTGATAACTGCAACACCCCCATTTTATATCCAGGAAAACTGAGGCTCAGGGAGATTAAGTTACTTTGCCTAAAGTCTGACAGCCGTTAGTAGAGGAAGCCAAGACTGACTCCCAGGCTTCCCGGCTCCCTCAGTGACAGCACAGGGAGAAAAGAACATGCGGTCTTTGTTAGGGAGGCATGGAAAAAGAGAGCATTGGCAGGGGCCAAATTATGCAAGGCATTGTGGGCTGCAGTCAACAAGCCTGATCTGTGTTCTGGATGCAATACCAAGCCATTGGATGGAGTTTGAACCGTGATGTGACTCAAGCTGCAGTCACTAGGAAGCACTATGCTACTGCATTAGAGGAGGGGTCGGGGAGGGCAAGCCTCTCTCCAGCCTGCAGACGTGAGACTGAGTCCCGCCAAGCAGAAGTCAACGGCCATCAAGACACTCACCCAGAACCTGCACATAGATGGGTCCTTGGGTTTGTTCTCCTTTTATCCATTTTCAACACAATGCAAGGAGCCCTTGTACAATTTTTGCCTCCTTCTGTGGGGCTGGAAGCGTCCCTGGGCACCTTCCATACAGCCCATCAACAGGCCAAATAAAGGATGTGGAGGCTGCGCTGGCCAGGGGCAATGGAAAGCAAGTGGCACAGACAGGCCCTCTGATGATGTGCCGGGGGCAGACGCCAATCAAATTGGCTGCTGCTCGGAGCTCAGGGTCCCTGCAAACATCCCTCCTGCTCGTCTCCACCAGAAGCTCAGAGACAGACCCCCATCCCTCGGAGGTTTGATTCAACAGATGTGTTGGAAAGCCCAGAACCATCTGCGAGGCTGATCCTGGCAGATGGAGAACTGTCTCGCAGAGCAAAGCAGGCAGGGTCTGCAGCACTCAGGAAACTCCCCTTCGGGTTTTGCCGCACAGCCCTGTGGAGCGCTCCCAAACACATTCATCCTCTGTTCCGCACGCCCTCTCTTTCAGTGGGGCAGATTGCTGGCATGTGCATCTCTCCACCGATGCCGGGCTGGCTCCTCCTGTCCCCCTGCCAAGCCTTACTCACCACAAAGCACACAGACTCAGAAGAGCCCCAGGTAAGCGGGAAGGTGCTTGCCCCACTCCCAGCTCAGCCCCTTCCTCCCTCCTCCCTTCACCAGGAGGTGCCATCCGCGCGCGCCTGGACCCAGGGGAAGCCCGGCCTCACCTTGTTGATTTTGTTGGTTTTGGGGAGCGTCTGGCTGATGTGCAGGTCCGAATACCGGGGTGGCTTCCGTAGAGGGTTGTTGATGTCACATGGGACCGACTCTGTTCGGACTAACCTTGCTGGGTCCGTAGGGGTAAAAAACAGCGAGTTGAGAGTTTAAGTATCACTTTGACAATGACCATGTCAGGAGAACAGACTTTAGTCCCCGCCTTGTAAGCCTGCCTCTGGGAAGAGAAGGGAATTCTGAATTGACAGCTGTGTGTCCCCATGATGGGACTGGGGTCTCTCTGTACTTCCTGACCTTTTTATACAGACAGCATATGACTCCTGACAATTCAAAATCCCAACAATAAAATTGAAGCTATCAGGTTTCCTTTTCAATACCTTAATTGCTTCATAGTAGCACTCATTTCAGAATTGAACCTCATCTTAAAGACAAGAGGTTCCAGACTTCTCAGGGGACAGGCCCTTGATGGCTTCCCACCGCTGCCCTTCGAACCTTTGTTTTAGGATCATCTTGTGCAGCTCTTGTGAGCTCTCCGGCCTAAGCAACCTGTCGCACGTCACTGGGATCTGCTCCCAGGATCAGCCCTGCCAGCCTCTCCCTCAGGGTCATTCCTGAAGCCACATGGGAAGCCGGACAGCCAGCTGAGGCTAAAGAAACATTTCCCGATTGGTATCACTTCCTCCAAGCCCTCTGCCTTCTGTTGTTTCTCTTTTAATTTAAAAAAAAATTTTTTTTTATTTTTGACAGGCAGAGTGGACAGTGAGAGAGAGAGAGACAGAGAGAAAGGTCTTCCTTTTCTGTTGGTTCACCCTCCAATGGCCGCTGCGGCTGGCGCGCTGCAGCCGACGCACCGCGCTGATCTGATGGCAGGAGCCAGGTGCTTCTCCTGGTCTCCCATGGGGTGCAGGGCCCAAGCACTTGGGCCATCCTCCACTGCACTCCCTGGCCACAGCAGAGGGCTGGCCTGGAAGGGGGCAACCGGGACAGAATCCGGCGCCCCGACCGGGGCTAGAACCCGGTGTGCCGGCGCCGCGAGGCAGAGGATTAGCCTAGTGAGCCGCGGCGCCGGCCCTGTTGTTTCTCTTACAGAGCCCATAGCACGGGCAAACAGGATGCCTAGTACTACTGCCTATTAGTTGTTTTCTCACAGGGGAGAGAAGGGTTGAGCTGGCTGAGAAGTCAAAGCTTTGGTCTGACCCAGGGATCTAATTTCTGTGCTTTGCCTGGGCTGTCATCACCATGGAAACTGATGGTATTTTCAACTTCCTACCAACGAGGGGAAAATCAAGAAGCTGGCGGACTTCAAGTTCAGGTTTCTCTGTCTGCATGGGCACCTGCCGCCTGTGAGCAGAGGAGCGTGACCTCGAAGGTGTGCAGACAGGGGACCCGCTTCAAACGCGGCCCTCTGGGAGCTGGGTCCTGCCTGCACACGGGAGTCAGGGTCCAGCAGAACCCACCCAGGGGAGGAGTCTGGTGGGAGGCGATTTCTCCAGGGAAGCTGACCTAAGGCAGGAGTTCAAAAGCAGTGTGAATCCAAGTTTGAAAAGTGCCTCCCTGAGTGTAAACAGCTATGCAAGGAACAGATGGTCCTTAATTAAGAACCTGGGCCGGGCAGGGGAGAGGGGAGAGAGCTGAAGACTTTTCCCTCGTTTGCAATTTTCTCTCTTCATGGAGATAAAACAGCACAGAGATCTTGGAAAACCAACTGCCTGCCGGCTTTGGGACTCATTATGGGGCTTTCGGGAGCAATGTGCCTCCTTGAAGTTTCCTTTGGGTTCATTCTGACCCTGGGCAGATTCCCCCGTGTATAACTACCCAAGGCTGGGGGCTATGGGAGGCCAAACAAGGAAGACTTGGGATGGGATTAGCAATTGCTGTCCCCAAAACTGCTCCAGAGAGGCTCTAGGGCTCCACCCAGGTATGGGTGGTAGGGACTTGGCCAGAAGAGTTTGAAACGTTTTAATACATTGCTATCACTTAACAACGGAGTATATGGAACACAGAAGTCTCTGTTTTGGCTTTTGATTGAAACATCAGATATGCAGGTCCACGTTTTTGCTGGAGTGGCGACCTTATCACTCAATGGTGCTTGGGCTTCCTGCTTTGCACAGCCGCACCAGGCCAACTTCTCCCACTTGTGCAGCAACCATGAGACAGCTGAGGTTACACTTGGCCCCCATTCTTGTGCAAAGCTTCTCAGTTTTAACACATGTGGGTGCACACGTGGATTGACTAGGTCTGGGGTGCGGCCAGAGAGTGTGCGTTTTCAGTCACTTCCCAGCCGATCCCTTTGCTGCTGGCTGGTGGACCACGCGTTGAATAGCACAGGTTTGTACCATGAACTTTCTGCGATGATGAAAATGCTCTCCAGCCACACTACCCACTATGGAAGCCACATGTGGCTACAGAGCCCTTGCAATATGGTTAGTGTAACTGAGTAACTAAGTTTGTATTTTTATTTAATTTTAGGTAACTAAGTTTAAAGAGTCAGATGTGGCTAGTAGCTACTGTATTACATAGCACAGGCCCAGAGAGTCCCCTAGGGATGAACTGCAATACGGAAAATGAAGTCCTGGGTTGACTACCCAGAAGTCCAAGAATCAGAGGAACTATGTTGAAAACTGGATGGTAAGGCTTCCCATGGAAGTGTCGTCTACGAAGTCCAGAGCAGCCAAGAAAAAGCCTTTCTGCCCTATCCTTCTGGCCTAACTGGCCTTGCTCTGGCACAACAGAAGGCTGACAGTAACTCTCCCAGAGGTATCTGCTACCTCCCTGCCTGGGAACATTGGCCCTGGCATGTCCAAGGCTCCAGGGGACAGAACTCAGATGGCTCAAACCAACAGACCCGAGCCAGAACTCTTCCTATGCCCATTTCTGCAAGGCCAACCAACTGAGTCTAGAGAGCATGCAATGGAAAAACTCTCAGTGCTCTTTAAGTGAGAAGGAAAATCTGTGGGATTGGAAGAAAGAGAAGACAGTAGAAAGAGGCAGGAATGAGAAAACAAGGGTTTGGGGAAGTGGTGTACCAGAGGGACCAGCACAGAAGAGAGGACCAGGAAGAACAGGCTGGGGTGGATAAGGAGCTAGACATTAGGAAGATTCAGAGGGAAGAAAGGAGGCAAGCAAGTATCTGGGGCCCCAGGAGCACCCAGAATCGTGCTGGGTGGGAAAACTGTCGGGGGTGGCATGCGAGAGCTCCCAGCCCTCCCCCACCCCTAGGACTGCAAGGGTTAAATACTTACCTCCTCGATGGATGATGAGGAGATGACAGGGAGGGGCTTCTTTGGTGCATTTATTGTGGCACTTTAACCTGAGAGAGCGAGAGAGACAGAAAGATGGATGAGTGAGTGGGTGGGTGGATGGGTGGGTGGGTGGATGGATGGATAGGATGGGTGGATAGGTAGGTGGGTGGATGGGTGGATGGGTGGGTGGGTAGATGGGTGGGTGGATGGATGGATAGGTGGGTAGGTGGATAGGTGGGTGGATGGGTGGGTGGATGGGTGGATGGATAGATAGGTGGGTGGATGGATAGATAGGTGGGTGGGTAGGTAGATGGATGGATGGGTGGGTGGATGGATGGATAAGTGGATGGGTAGGTGGGTGGGTAGATGGGTGGGTGGGTAGGTGGGTGGATGGGTGGGTGGGTGGGTGGATGGATGGATGGGTGGGTGGGTGGTTGCTGAGTGGGATGAACTAATAGTCTGGTAGGTTCTGGGTGCTATGGATACAAAGATGTGAGATGATATGGCAGTGCCTACAAACATATATCCTTGACAACCCATGAAAGTAACTCTGGAGAGAGGTTGCTGCCATCTATTCCCTCAGGTTAATCCCAGAGTAACAACCATTTCACCAACAGTACCCACTTGGATTTTATTATCACCACCATCACCATCATGCTGATCATCATCTATCATTTATGTAAAGATTCATTTGCTTCTCACTGTGCCAAACGTTTTACATATCCAATGTCATTCCATCTCTGTAGCAGTCTTATGAAAGTGGTATAATTATTACTCCCATCTGGCAGGCAGAAAAACTAAGATTAATTAACTTACCCTAGAGAAAAAAAACCTAGGTCAGCTGTCCCAAAGGTGCTCCCTGGTTATTCTTAAAGGCTCAGGCAGTAAAATATCAGCCAGGGCTCCCAATTAGGATGAGATTTGTATCAGGTATTAAATTTCAAAGGTATTAAGTTGAAGTGTTTAGAGTTCAAATGTCTTCTGTTGAGACAAGCCTGAGATGCCACCTTGCTTTCCCCCCTTCAGCTGCCTGACTACCAGGGTAACACCTCTCAGGTTGCAGCAGTGTGGCTCTGTCTTCTTCCTGCCGAGTCTTATGTCAATAGGATGGACATACACTGAGGAAGGTGCTCCAACTGCTCCTTCCACACCCTCTTGTGTTCCTGTACCACTTCGATGCACAGCAGCCTAACTTCTAAAGCCAACATCTTTGCTAGATGGCTTCCCTCAGGCTGCTTAGAGACTTAGAAGTAAACTAGAGGCCGGCACCGCGGCTCACTAGGCTAATCCTCTGCCTTGCGGCGCTGGCACACCGGGTTCTAGTCCCAGTCAGGGCGCCAGATTCTGTCCTGGTTGCCCCTCTTCCAGGCCAGCTCTCTGCTGTGGCCAGGGAGTGCAGTGGAGGATGGCCCAAGTGCTTGGGCCCTGCACCCCATGGGAGACCAGGATAAGTACCTGGCTCCTGCCATCGGTCGGATCAGCGTGGTGCGCCGGCCGCGGCACCCATTGGAGGGTGAACCAACGGCAAAGGAAGACCTTTCTCTCTGTCTCTCTCTCTCACTGTCCACTCTGCCTGTCAAAAAAAAAAAAAAAAAAAAAAGTAAACTAGAAATTCATGTGATGGGCGTTTTGCCTAGCAGTTAATATGCTGGTTAAGATTCTGGTGCCCATGTCAGAGTGCCTGGGTTCAAATCCTGGCTCCGGCTCCTGACTCCAGCTTCCTGCTAATGCAGACCCTGGGAGGCAGCAGTGATGGCTCAAGTAATCATGCTCCTACCGCCCACGTGGAAGACCTCGACTGAGGTATGGGCTCCTGCCCCGACCTGGCTTAGCCCTGGCTGTCGTGGGCATTTGGGAAGTGAACCAGTAGATGGGAGCTTTCTCTCTGCTCTCTCAAATTAAAAAAAAAAAATGAATTACTAAAAAGAAGGGCACATACACAGCACAGGGAAGTGGAAACTTGCCCCCTCCCCCAGGTCTTGATAGTTTTCTCCCACACTGTCCACACTGATTATCCATCTTTTATTGATAAATAATAGTTAATAAATAATAATCCATAATTGACATAATACTCTAAAGGAAGAAGACAAGACAAGCTCTGTTCTCTTCAACAGAATGTGCTGAACACTCAGACACAGACTTACCATGGATTTCCCCAATGAGTCCGGCCCAGTGGTCCTTAAAGTGGGGTCCCCAGGCCAGTAGCATCAACACCACCTAGGAACCTGATCCTTACATGTCCACTCAATCAACAAGCCAAGGCTAGGGTGTGTTTCAATGATATCTCCAGGCAAGTCCCTGTGGGCTCAGGTGAGATCACCAAACTAGCTGATGGTTTTACAATGTCTGTGCGTGTTTCCTCAATTGTTTATATTTTTAAAGATTTTGTTTACTTATTTGAGAGGTAGAGTTACAGACAGGAAGATGAGACAGAGAGAGGGGTCTTCTACCTGCTGGTTCACTCCCAAATGGCCTCAATGGCCAGAGCTAGGCTGATCCAAAGCCAAGAGCCAGGAACTTTTTCCAGGTCTCCCATGCAGTTGCAGGGGCCCAAGCATGTAGGCCATCTTCTACTGCTCTTCCAGACCATAGCAGAGAGCTGGGCCAGAAGAGGGGCAGCTGGGACTCGAACTGGAGCCCAGTTGGGATGCTGGAGCTGTAGGCAGAGGCTTAGCCCACTGCACCACAGTGCCGGCTGCTCCTCAATTGTTTGTGTTCAGTCTTGCATGACCCTGTTAGGACGCCAAAGTCCTCTCTGATGTGGGAAAGCTGGACCTGGGGCTACCACAAGTTCAGAGGCAGCAGGACACAACACTGCGTCCACCCTGAGCAAGGACGCCCCGTCCACTGTGCTCTCAGTCAGACTGCCTCATGGGGGAGGTCTCCTGCACACGTGCCAACTCCAGTCTCAGATCTGGGCAGGTGTTGTGTCCACAGGGAATGCAGTCAGTGTTTCTCCTGTTTAAATATTGATATCAATGGCAAGTGATGTTGATTTTCCATTCATAATAATGTTTTCGAGTTTAAACAAATTTAGGTCCATTAAAAAGACTATACATAGCAAATAAATAGTAGAGATGATTACAAATATGCCGCTGTCTTCACAAAGTGGTGAAGAAATGATGGAGGTCAATTAGGAAAAGTTGATACAGACAATTTAGAATCTGCCAAACGAGGAGGCGGCTTTTGGAACCAGAAAGTCTAAGAGAGCTGAAAAACTTTAGGAGGTTCAAGCACACTTCAAAAAGGTGGCCGAAAATGGAATTAAAAGTCATGTTTATTTTGGTCCAAAAAATTGAGATCCACACATAGTTTTTGCTAGTAGTGTGCATTTCCCACAATCTTTTTAAAGATCCTTTATCTGTTGGTCACGAAAGCCATAAAGACCACGAGACTGACAGCAACGAGAGCTAGGTCGGGGGTCACGATGCACCGACAACGCCGAGTGCTTTGTGCAACTCCTGTGACCCTCGTGGCAGCTGAGAAGTAGCAGCTCATCTTAGACCCATTTTGCAGAGGAAGAAACTGAGGCTCTGCAGCTTTGAATTGCTCTGAGCGAAAGAACCAGTGAGAGCAGAGGTCCTGAGGACAGCTTAATCACTAGATGTCTCCAAAACCCCACCTCGGGGGCAGGTGTGGGTGAAGAGCAAGGAGTTGGGAGACAGAACTACAGGAGTCAAAATGGCGTTTGTTGGCCAGCGCTGCAGCTCACTTGGCTAATCCCCCGCCTGTGGCGCCGGCACACCGGGTTCTAGTCCCGGTTGGGGCACCGGATTCTGTCCCGGTCGCTCCTCTTCCAGTCCAGCTCTCTCTGCTGTGGCCAGGGAGTGCAGTGGAGGATGGCCCAAGTGCTTGGGTCCTGCACCTGTGTGGGAGACCAGGCGAAGCACCTGGCTCCTGGCTTTGGATCAGCGCGGTGTGCTGGCTACAGCGCAGCGGCGATTGGAGGGTGAACCAACGGCAAAGGAAGACCTTTCTCTCTGTGTCTCTCTCTCTCACTGTCCACTCTGCCTGTCAAAAAAATAAATAAATAAATAAAATAAAAAGGCTTTTGTTGGGACAAGCCTAAGATATCACCAAGCTCTTCTCCCACAGCAGTCTGACTTCATGCCAGGGTCCTAGGCAAGAGCAGTCCACAGCTTTCCAATACAGAGAAAGAACGGTGTTTTAGGAGACGAAAATGCCCACTGCCTTCATTTGACCACTGCACACTGGATACACATATTAAATTAAAGCACAACACCCTATAAATGGGGGTGGTTACTAGTTCAATTGTTAAACTATTACCTTAAACTAAAACTAAAAATCCCAAATTACTGGGATCTGGCTGTGTCTTTTTCTTATCTAAAGCTGCCTAATTTTCAGAGCTATTGAGGAAGCCCCAAGCCCTTGGTGTAACCAGTGTTGCATGAAAACCCTGACACAGAGCTCTGCTAAAGGTAAAAATAAGCCTTTCACTTGTTCACTCAGCAAACACTGGACCGGAAGCAGCAGCCCCAGGTACTGAGGACATGCAATGAACAAGGCAGATGAAGCCCTTGTGTTTATGGGGAAGAAAAAGAAACACATAAGAAGGAAGTCAAATACTTTCATGGGTGGTGAGGACATGAAGAATAAGACAGGGAACTGGGCTGGAGAGTGGTGGCGGAATGGGGTGGGTGGGCCCTTGGGCAGGTGTCACCTGGAGGCCTCTCCTGGGGGTTACTTGGGATCTGAGTTCTGCTGTGAAGGTTCAGAGGCCAGAACAAGCTTGCTGGGTTCATGGGTGAAAAGTTAGAGGCAGATGAGCCAAAGGGATGAGGAGGAACATGGAGAAGGGGAGGCGGCAGGGGCTCTGGGGCCGCACCAGGAGCCTGTGTGTGGTTCTATCGGTGGTGAGAAGTCCTGGAGGTTTCTGAGGGCTGGGACATGGCCACACTGATGTCTGGGCAGCTCTGAGTTGGGGGATATGTGGATGCCAAATGGGAGTTGAACCATGATGCTTCTGAACTTTGGAAGAGCTGGGAGCCACTGTGGAAGCTTCTAGAAATAAATGTTCCCTGCCAGCCTCCTTCCCTGGTCCCTGGCT